ATTATTGTTAATAATAATAATAATCATAATAATAATAGTAATGAAGATGATAATAATAATAATAATAATAATAATAATTTAGAGCCTCACAGTTTTTCAAGCCTCTCTTGTAAAAAAGTGCATTTGAAAATTCATGGATGACACTATTAGCCAAATTAGTATTCAAATAAATTTTAGTAAGGGCCGCTATTGGTGCTTCACACTCTTCACTGCTCATTTTTTTGTTTTAAGAATAAGGTCCAAGGTTTAAAATGAAAGTTCCCTGTAAAATATTTTTTCTGTTTAAAAACAATACAGTAGCGAAAAATGACTTCTCTTACGTCAGTGTAAATATTTGTTAGCACTGGCCAAAACTGATTAGCTGAAGTCACACTGAAGCGATGATGGTGTAGCAGTCAAAACAGGATAAAGAGCTCATGGACGGGACCAATTCAGAACCTTTGTCAGTGAGGGGTGGGTCTTCTGAACAACCCATTGCCTACAGCCTGTTAAAACAAGCTAAATAATATTGTTTTTGCTTTGAAATAAGATGATTTACTTGTTTTAAGGAAAAACACTCTTTCTTTCTGTCTTGTTACTGGACAGAAAAGAAGTGAATACACTTAATCCACCAAGGATATGACAATAAAGTTCAACAACTGATTTACATTCTAGTCTTTGTAGTAAAGTACAGACTCTTCACTGACACACTACGTTATAAACACTGCAAAGTAAACACAAACACATTTAGTTCTGGCTTACATAATCACTAAGTGTATTTGGTGTTAATGTTGTAATACATGCAAACCTCCAAATGTCCCCGAGTGTGATCTTCTGTGGTCCTCCAGTCGGAGTGTGTGTTTGAGGTGTTTGCGGTGTGTATCCGCTGTGGTGAACGAGGGAACACAGTGCATTGTGGGACGGCTCCTACAGGACCCCAGCCCTCCATCTCTCTCTCTCTCTGTCTGTCATCTGTCTGTCCGTCCATCTGTCCTCAACCTTCAGCCCCTTCAATGTGTGTCTGTCTGCGGCCCTCAGCAAACAGCCATGAGACCGGTTCATGTCTACAACACACACACACACACACCGTCAGTCCTCAATAACCAGAGCTGACGGAGGCTTTGATTGCAGTGGTCCACTTCACCCAATCATCTAAATCCTGTCCTCATTTACTGACCGACCGCTAATTCCAAACCCGAGTGTCTTTCCTCCAGTGTTGAACACAAAAGCAGGTATCAGGGGCGTCCCAGATCACACAGTAATGCACTATTCAGTAGCATTTTAAACAGAATAAGTGCACTGTACGAGCTACTTATGAGGGGGAGGAGCTGCCGATGAAGGACAGGGATTTTTGGTCAAGGGGGAGGGGCTGATGATGAGGGGGAGGGGCTATTTAGTTAGAGAGAGGAGCTCGTTACGAAGGGGTAGAGCTGATAAAGGGCAGGGGCTTATGATGATGAAGGGGAGGAGTTATTTAGTTAGGGGAGGGGCTTCTGGTTATGGGGAGGGGCTAAATATGAATGGGAGGAGCTGATGATGAGGAGGAGGGGCTATTTGGTGTGAGGGAGTTGCTACTTATGAAGTGAAGGAGCTGATGATGGGTGGGGCTATTTAGTTAGGGGGAGAAGCTCTTTATGAGGGGGAGGGGCTGATGAAGGGCATGGGCTTATGATGATGGGCAGGAGCTGTTGATGAAGGAGGGGGGTGATGATGAAGAGGAGGGGCTACTTGGTGATACAGAGGAGCTACTTCTGAAGGGGAGGACCTGCCGATGAAGGGAAGGAGCTATTTGTCTAAGGGGTGGGGCCACATATGAAGGGGAGGAGCTGATAATGAGGGGGAGGAGCTATTTTGTCAGGGGAGAAGCTCATTATGAGGGGGAGGAGCTGATGAAAGGCAAGGGCCTATGATTATGGGGAGGGGCTAATGATGAAGGGGAGGGGCTATTTAGTTACGGTGAGTAGCTGATGAAGGGGAGGGGCTACTGATGATGGGGAGAAGCTAATGATTAAGGGCAGGGGCTGATGATAAAGACAAGGAGCTGCTGAGAATGGAAAGGAACTATTCAGTTAGAGGACGAGCAACTTATGAGGGGAGGAACTTATGATGATGGGGAGGAGCCACAGGTGATGAAGAGGAGCTAATGTTAAGGGCAAAGGCTGATGATGAAGGGGAGGAGCTGCTGATGAGGGACAGGGGCTATTTAGTTAGGGGAAGAACTACTCATGAGTGGGTGGAGCTGATGATAGGCAGAGGCTGATAATAGGGAGGAGCTGCTGATGAAGTGGAGGGGCTATTTTGATTGAGGGAGGGGCTACTTGTGATGGGGGAGGATCTTCTGGTGATGGGGAGGAGCTACATATGAGGGCGTGGAGCTGTCGATAAAGGGTAGAGGCTATTTGCCAAGGGGGAGATGCTAGATATGAAAGGGAGGAGCTGATGATAAAGGGGAGGGGCTATTTGCCAAGGGGGAGATGCTAGATATGAAAGGGAGGAGCTGATGAAGAGCAGGAGCTTATGATGATGGGCAGAAATTGTTGATGAATGGGAGGGGCTGATGATGAAGGGGAGGGACTATTTGGTGTGAGGGAGTCGCTACTTATGAAAGAAGGGGCTGATGACGAGGGGGAGGGGCTATTTAGTTAGGAGGAGGACCTCCTTATGAGAGGGAGGAGCTGATAAAGAGCAGGGGCTTATAATGATAGACTGGAGCTGTTGATGAAGGGGAGGGGCTGATGATGAAGGGGAGGGGATATTTAGTTAGGGTGAGGAGCAGATAAAGGGCAGGGGCTTATAATGATGGGCAGGAGCTGCTGACATAGGGGAGGGGCTATTTGGTTAATGGGAGGAGCTACTTCGGAGGAGGAGCTGATGATGAAAGCGAAGAACTTCTGATGATGGGGAGGAGCTAATGATTAAGGGCAAGGGCTGATGATAAAGAGGAGGAGCTGCTAATGAGGGGAGGAGCTGCCGATGATGGGGGGCTATTTAGATAGGGGAGGAGCTGCTGATAAGGTCGAGGAACTTCTGATGATAAGAAGCCAATGATAAAAG